CTAGTTCTCAGTGGTTCTTTAAATTGCACCGATTAAGGATTTCGATAAGGTTTTGATTGTAAATTTTTGACCCAACGTTCTGATTTCTTTTTTGTTACACCGTTTATCTGACATTCTTTAAAGATTCTATTTCTAGCTATAAGACAACGATGACAATACTTACTGAAATGCTTTTCCTTATTCTATTTAAATGTTTAACAAGAAAATCTTTAGAAATATTAAGCATTTAAACAACAAATAAATAGATCATCAGAAAAGGGTCTTGTGGATATTATAGTAATTTAATAGTTGAGTTGATGAGTCAATCGAAGTTAAACCACCATGAAAAACCTGGAAGTACCGTACGATCGTTTCGTTCCAGTGTGGGACTCCTCAGTAATGCGCATCCACGATCCTGCGCCGCGGGATTCGAACCCAGCACCTATTAGTCTAAAGTGCGAAAACTTAACCTCTAGACCACTGAGCCGGCCGACATCCAATAGTGTTAATGTCTAACTTCAACCGATCTACGAAATTGATCCACCGTCCACCATCGTCTTCAGTGAGTTAATATCTCACAACAGACATGGTTGAAGTTCACTGATTACTGCTTCTCACTAGAACAAAACGGCCATCCAATGATTCCGGGTTTTCCATGGTTGTCTAGCTTCAATTGACTCATGAACTCAATTAATAAATTAAAAGATCTTCAGTATTTAAAAAAATTATAGGTTACTAATCATCATCGTATTTATTTTCACGTATCTAATTTCAGAGTCATATCTATTTCTAAAGTAAACTGTAAAACTTTTAACAAGTTGAACTGTAAGAAAACATTTTTATGATGATTAGTGTACATCTAAAAAACATCATCAACACACAACATTAAATCTTTAAAATAATCCATGGGAAGAAAATACTTTCTACTTATAGTTTTCATTCATTACAAAACTAGACACATATAAAGTTGTCACAACTTTTATTTGTTGTCGTTTTATAAAACAAAAAATAGAGTATATTCTTTTATGAGTTAAATGTCAAATCGAATAACTAAACGCGAAATTCCCATACATCATAGATGTGATTTTTTAAAATACTTAACTGAATATGTTTGTCATAGTGTTCTTCTAATTCTTACACACCATAGTTAGGTGGCTAGAGGTAGTTCATAGGAAACCCTACATCTAGGTTTCGTGACAGTTATGACTCGTTAGTTAAGCGTACCTGTAAGCTTGTAACAATCGATGATCCACGTGTAATTGATACCCATGTCTCTCAGTTTCATAGTATGGGGTGTCACCATTATCCTAGAAAGTTGATGGCTGACCTCCTATATGACGGTGATATTTGAAATTGATCAGTCACTGAGTAATGATCAATGGCATATTTGTCTAAACCTTTGTGGATAATGAAAATGTTATTTACATTTGATTAGTTAATCAAAAATAGATGAAAGTGAATGGGAACATCAGATATTAGAAAAATTAATCCATACCTTCTGCACGTAAAAGCGGTCAGTGGATATTTTTGAAGAACATATAATCTTATGTATCTGTTCAGGAAACATATTGAATATTCATTAAGGGATATCTAAGGTAATGATGAACGAAAAATATGTCAATGGAACCAAGTCATGCAACATTATTTATTACATGCCATTGTAAAGTAATATTTACAATCAAAAATTAAATAAATTATACTAGAATAATGTGACCACAGGACAACCAAGGACAATTTAGGAATTCCTGATTTACTACTGTTAATAAAACTAAATAAAATGCCATTTACCAGACAAAAAATCACGTGTTTATGTAAATAAGTACTCACTATAAGTAAGCTTCTATATTTTAGGTTGAATTTACCATATTCGATGACTACAGATCGCATATTTCTAGTTGATAGTGAAAAGGCGAGTTGTTTAAGATGCAGACTTTGCTTAAAAAATAAAAATTAAAACAATAATTTTCTTTATATACATATATGAGGGAACTAGTGTAAACGTTTGGAGTTACAAAACTACGGAAACAATGTCGTTAGAACAATTCATGTAAGCGAACAATATTGTTTTCCATTAGTTCGTCATCATACGTTAATGTACATGAATATTTACATGAAAATAAGGAACCAATCAAGACGATTCGCAGTTTTTTCTTGGCACAACTTGCTGACACTGGCCATATGGTAGATAAAATTAGACCATTGGTCGCATAACTTCGTCGTTTCCAATTAGGGTTATATCTCATCTCTTACACATATCAGAAGCCATAGGAATCCAAATCTTCAAACCTAGTTCATATGTTCTGAAGACATTTGCAACACTTTTCTCCTCTTGACTTGATATGACTTCTTAAAGAATTTTCTTAATCTCTCTGAATACCTCGTTTGTTTTTAACTTTTCATCTCTTTCCGTTTATATTCTTTACTATTTGATTAAGACTATGAATCGACTGATGTTAGACCAACATTGAAAACCTGGAAGCATTGGGGGGCCGTTTCTTTTGATTGTGATACTCCTCGGCAATGCGCATCGACGATCCCGCTCGCGGGATTGGAACCCAGGGACTTCGGTTTCGCACACGACGCTTAGCCTCTATGCCATTGAGCCGGCATCCAACAGTGTTGAGATCTAAGTTCAACCAATCCACGAAATTGCGCGACCATCTTCCATTGTATTGTGGTAGATAGCTGTCTTTACCCGACACCGATTAGCTCCACTGGTCACAGCTTCTCACTAGAACTTTGAGAATTCCCTCACAAAGCTAGTCACTAGTGAGCACATTGTAATTATGAGTGGGCAGTGCCACAATTGGACGAAACAGCCGTCTAGTGTTTCCAGGTTTACAATGGTGGTGTAACATCAATCGGTCCATTATTTCAATCAATAACTTAATGATCTCCATAACCCAATACTGATATATTCTTTACTGTCGGGTTAATCACATACATTTTATCGCATGATTTTAATAGATTTTTCTTATCATTGTTCTAATTTTCTCACTAGTAACATTTATAATGTGTTCATAACATAACACTAACGATTTATATGGAATGGCATGCGTGTAGTGATAATACTACGATCTTTTCAAATTGACATATTCTCTCAGTTATGCCACGTAGTACAACTGAATAAATTGTGGATAGGTAATGGTTAAATACTTGTGTTCGAGAATGTAAATTGTCCAAGATTTAGACGTTTTCACGATTTTCCTTTGTAAATAGGTCATGTTATGTAGGAACAGCAATCACAGGTCTATACTTTGTTTATTTCGATAATCACTTACATGCTTCTATTTATAACCAAATATTTCAACTAGATGGGCACTGAATAACATTACTAGCATGCACCATGACTAATTATATTAGTCAACTTATAAAATAAAATGTCGAAAAATCATCCATGACATGTTAACTATCTGGATTAATTTGTAAATATCAATTTAAGCTAGACCCCATTAGAAATCTGGAAGCACTGGATGGCCGTTTCGTCCTAGTATAGGACACATCCACGATCTCTCACGTGGTCTAGCTTGAGTCGACTCACGAATTCAACTATTAAATTACTACAATCTCCGCAAACCCTATTCTGATAATATCGGCCGCCTACTTCCACTAGACAATATTTCTTTACTAAGGATATTTATATTTTGCACAATCATCTCGGCTCATTACAGTAAGTTTTCAATATTTATGAAAGGTACTTAGAAGATGACAACTGACCTTCAAGCTTTTGTTTACGTTTTGTAAATGTAAAATGAAAATTCATATGAACAACTGATGAATTTCTCGAAAGTGGAGTAAGCAGTTTTTACTATTTTGAATAAAAAAACTTAATATTATTGTATATAACGTAAATAAGTAGAAAGTTATTCACTCATTTACTCTAGATGAAAAATGAGATTTGAGGCAAAAGAAATGCTTAACAGTATAGCTCTCATATCTCACACATTAGAAATTTGAGTTAGATTAGAGCTTCACTGTTTATGGTAGAACTGCTTCAAATGAATCATCAGATATTTTAAGTATTATCATAAAATATAGTTGTCTGTATCCGGTACAAGTAAAAATGTCAACTATTATTCGCTTTTTCCCCAGTTGTATAAGGAATCCGAAAATCAATATTCCAGGCTATTGACTGAGCAACAAATACATTAATGGGATCAAATAATTTGCCATTGTTTACACGTTTCATGTATTTGATGTTGCTTGGCTGTTGATTATCGGCGTTAGATTTAAAATCTAGGTGCTTTGTTTTGTATGAACAGTTAATATAACGTATTAGCAATGGTTATACCAACTTATCCACATTCAAAAATCCGGACCTATATTACTGAACAGCTGTTGATTTGGTTTACTAAAAAAGTCTACTGTTATGCATATATTTGTAAATGGTAGTCAGTAGCTCCTCTCTTCAACAACTTTGATCAGTTCATAATAAAAACATATCATACCCTCTTTTTTAACGGCATACTGAAACGGCTAAGTGGTTCCACTATGAGTCAAACTTTAGAATCTGTACGACATTTCAACTAGACATGTACATACAAACAAGTGAATCAATGAATATATTTGTACTTTTTCTAGGATATGATATATTTGGACAACAGATGGATTATAATAACACTAAAATCTTATCACCACTTTAGATGCGTTTACATAATTAAATAAGAGATTCAATGAAGTGCAATAAATTTACAGTCACTGGTTCCACATATTCATTTCAGTATATAAGCAGATTTGCATGTCTTATTATTTGACTATATCTTTAACAGTTTCATCAAATCAAGTACTAGTGCTTCTCTTTCGTAATCATTTATTCATAGTCATGAAGATTTCTGTAATTTAGTTAAAATGTGAAATAAACAAGTATGACTTGGATAACATTTTGTGCTGTGTACGAGTTCAAATTCCAAGTAGGAAATTTGCTTTTAAAAATTAATTTGTTAGTTTGTTCATTCTTATCAGAGTTGAAAAATAAGATTATCTCTTTTATTCATATTCAACGTTTTTTTTTTTAATTTTAGAAGCTACATGATGAATTACTTTCTGAATGTGAGTTAGGAACTTCATCGTCAAGTTCATATACAATATCAGCATCCAAAGTCAACCGTCAACACAAACTCGAGAAAATATATCCACAAACTTTTAAATCAAAATCCGTAAACAATCAGTTATCATTTCAAGACTGTACAATTAATGCCGATAATATTAAAAATAATATTGAGTCTGGCCAAGAAAGTCAACAATCCACCACTCCAGACTTATCATCTATTCCATCCCTTAATTCACCTTCACCATCATCAACATCACCGTGTTCAATGAGCCGAACTAATCACACCACAGACAAAACAGTTAAAGAAAACTCCAGCTTACCAGCTGAAATTCAAATAAGGTTTGAATTTTTTGTTACATGCATTTATAAACTGATGTTTCAATTTCCACTGAAATTGTAATATCGCTGTAGGTCGAACGTACTAACACCATTATTGATAGTTTAAAGAGTACCACAAATAATTAAGTCATAGCTTATCAAAGATATCAATATCTCACAATACGGATTTACAGATAACTTCATAGATCTAGGTAGAAGCTACTTTTACAACCTCTTACACAGCATTATATTACAAAAGTATCTGATAATATGCAATTATTAGTTAATAAGAGTAGTATTTTTAATTGTCGTCATACTATTCATTACAAAATTTCTAAGTATATGAAGTGCCCTAGTAGTTCACTGAGGCGCTTATAAACACAAATAGTAATGTAGTAGAAATAGAAATTTAAGAAAACGTGGTTGAGGATCTAATTGAAATTATTTTAGTAACATGTACAACAATAATATTTCATTGTAGCTCAGGCAAATCCTATTCATACCAATTAATTAATTAGTAGTCAATGTTATCCTTGTTTAGTTCGGTAGTCCTGGTCGTATGGAAATGTGCCCACTGTGATTTAATATAAGATAGTCTGTTTGTATCAAAAAAACGTAGCACCCAATCAATTTTATCCAACCAGCAGGAACTTTAGTCTTGTGCATCTCTCTGTTAATATTTAAAATGAATAAATCTGTTTAAACAAATTAATCACAAGATTTCTCGTATTCAATGATATAAAAGCGCTTCTCTACTTCATGCTTAATGATAAATTTAATCTATGGATGAAACTAAAAGGGGAATAAATCTCATATTATGAAATTTCCTATTTATATCTTATTATTCAGGAAATTAGATATCAACAAATTTAACACTCTGCTTCATTGTCAATATTAACGTACTTAACTACCTAATATTTACTTCGTAACTAACACTGAAAATGAATTCGTCAATAATTCTCTATTTCTGTCACAATCTCTCAAGAATAGAACAAAATTGAATGAGAACTATTTTTAGATTGAATATTTTTAAAGAGAAAAAAAAACACTAGAAATTTAACATGGTGACTCAATTCAACGGTTTATTTATCTGCCCCCCCCCTTCAACTCACCCCCATACATATATACAGTTATATGTATATTCAATTGTTTTTAATTATGAAACTTTGTTTATTTTAATAAGAATATAATAAAATTTTACTTAAAACAAGGTGTGGTTATATACATATTGTGATTAAGTTCTTAATGGAAATTAGTTCATCTGAGAAATTAATTTGTACATTTATTTTCCTTTTGTCTAGAGCACTGGTCAGTAATCATTAAAATATTGATATGGCATTTAATGAATATATAGAATTATTGTTAAAATTAATTAGAAGATATCCAGTCTTCTTGAAATATATTGATCAGATTAATTTTAACAATAAACAAATCGGTCATAACATTGATCATTTGGTAATAGCAATTATATTTGTCAATATATAATATTATGTGTAGAAATAAGAATTGATTTGAAAAGAGATTGGTAAAATGTTATCGAATATGTTGTCATGTGAATCATTCTACTTCAGATAGAAGTCTGAAGTTTATGCTGATGATGTCGTTCAGAAGAACGATGAAAGCTCCACGATCAAACCATCCAGCTCAGAGAACAAAACTCCACCAAAATCATCCACCTGAGCTACAAATCTTCTCCACCATCTCAGAATCATTCTACTACTTGACGATATGAAAGAAGTAAATGTGAACATTTATATACAATAAACAAAGATGGATAGTGACTAGCAGTGGAATCTAGGACGCATGTTTTGTCCTCCTATTTGAAACTTGTCAGCTGGATGCACTTGTATCCCTGAGTTGATATTCACAGGGTGCACACATGTCAATGAGAGGGTGATCGATTACAGTTCAAAACATCAATGAGAAGATTCAAACAAACAATACAAAATGAAAGTATATACAATGTTCAGATGAACTTCAAATTTAATTGTAGTTACAATTTAAATAGATTCATGAGCGATAGTTGTTTTCATTCTTGTATGACTTTAACAGATTGAAAGTAATGGTAAAGTCAATTCACTAAATTCTTCCGATATAAGAAACTGATTCAAAGAGATTATTTCAGCTCAAATTGTTGAAAATGATTTAAAATCATCGACTTTTCTTTGCCTATAAACAATTAATTTAGATCAGCAATTCACTTAAGGTCTAACGTTTACTAGCTAAAGTTATTTACCCTATAGTCGAAAACTTTGCTGAACTAAATTCTAAAAACCAGAATATTTGACCTCTAAAGTTGGCAAATATTCAAAAATCCATGAACACCACTCATTAGTTATATAAATAAGGACATCTTTCTCACCAGTCGGTTCTATCAAATCGATGTTGTTAATAAGTAATTGTTTATTTTAACGAACGTTTGTCTATTAATCAGTTTTATAGATTCATTTATGTAATTTTATTTTATAGAACTCCATATAATGTTACCCAAAGAAGAAAAGAACTATTCACTCAAATATCCAATAATATTTCTGATCATGAAGGAGATTGTTGTGAATTACGTAGTAATACTTCAGATATAGAAACTACCACTTTCAATAAACTTTCGATCAGTATCAGCACATCAAATGACATGAATGAATTGAATCGAGAAACGAAAAGTGAAATTTCTTCACCACTTGGCTTTGTTAAAACAACAGAAATAACAAGATCTAATTCGATTCCAGATATTTTTGATAGTTCCACACCAACCATATCAAAATCTATTACAACCTCAAGTGTATTAGTTAGTACGAATTCATCATTAAGAGCTGGCGCATCAAATACAACTAACTTCTATACTAGATCAAAATCTAATTATGCATCAAAGGATACAGATCATTTTATTAATCATAGCTTTGCTACGAATAGACGAAAATCTCGTTACAACTCAAACAACAATAATAACATACACTATTCTAACCTTAATTTAAAATCGCTTCTAAGTAATAAATACATGAAAAGTTTTTTAATGCAACCTTTTTTAATTCCGGATTACATGAATACTTCTGCATATACAACAGTCAACGGTTATGACCTGGCTAATCTGAGAAAATCATTTTTCAACAATGAAGGAAGTAAACAAAATTTTCAAACAGCTGCAGCGGCCGCTGCTGCTGCAGCTCTTCTACCAGAACCAGGTTTATTCATTAATTCACCATGTTATTATTGGTTACCGTCATTAGGATTTAATAACTATACTAAAAATACTACTACAACATATGCTACAGATTGTGTAAAGCTGTATAACGATAAAATTACTAACAGTAATGGAAATAATAGTATGAATTATGTAAATGGAGGTAATCGATATATGCTACAACAATTTGCTAATCAAGCGAATCATGTAACAGATGAACCAAAGTCTTATGAAACACACAAAGTATCGGTTTCAAGTAAGTTATTTAACTTTTTTTTAAAACGTATTGTGTTGTATATGGAATTATTAACTCAACGAGTTAAATAAACTTGTGTGAATTTCAAGTTACCTAACTGAAAAATTATTTAAATGTTTATGTATGTTTATGTATCGAAAGTTGATGCAATGTTCACGTATAATCTATGAACATTAAAGAGATTGATCGATCATTCAACGTAAAGGTTCAAAATTCAAAATAAAGTTTCCTGAGCCATGTTATTTTTTCACAGCATTTAAACAAACCATGGTTTTGAAAGCAATCATTCTGATTTCTTGACAACATTAAGCAGATTTTTGCGATTCATGAATTAACCACACTTTAGCTTATCAGGCTATCGTTTGCCCACTGGATCTAAGTCACAAGAAAGTGAAACCATTTAGTTGAAAATTATATCACATCCCCAAGTTCTACCGTATCTTAACAATTGTTTATCGTTACCGTTTCTGGGCATGTTGAAAAACAACGGGAATCGGAGAATCATTCCATAGAAATTTTAAATTACTTAAAAGATACACTCACTCAACTGGCATTAAGGTCTAGACTTTCAGATTCCGCTTGAAGGATTTAGTCTTCAAACCACCGTTTCGTAAGCTCATAGTCTACATTTAACATTATGTCATGTCATGATATAGCACAATCGTCAAGTATCATCTGTGATACATTTCCAAATTACCAACATGGTTGAGCTTCAATAGTTGTGATTTCTCAGCAAAATTTGAGAACTAATTTTCGATCGATCAGATACTAAACTATCCAATATTTCTCCAGCCAGTATTAATCATTAATAAGACATGAATAAGACATTCTTAAAGACAAAAACACGAAATCCAAGCTAACAAATATAACTATCTTCTGTAACAATTCTTGCATTATTCAAGCAACTTACTATCTAGATTAATTGGATAGTTGATATCCTAATGCGAATTGAGAACAGATTAAGTAGAAAAATAAAAGTCCCGAACACAACAATGACAGTGATAATAACAGCACAAAGCATACAGAGTGAGATGAATAAAATGATTTTTCTCAACTTAAGAAAACCAATAAAAAGATGAGACAGTTTAAATAAAAACTCATTCTAAATGTTTACTCTTTATGTATGTGTCTTCTTTTTTATCAGCATGGGAATTTTTGGATATTGTAGTACTTTAATAGTTGAATTCACGAGCCGATCTAGGCTAAACCTCCATCGAAAACCTGGAGATACTGAACGGCTACTTCGTCCTAGTATGAGACTCCTCAACAGTGCGCATTCACGATCCCGCGCCGCGGGATTCAAACTCAGTACTAACACGTTAACCCGTAACCTCTAAACGACTGAGCCTGCATCTAAAGATATGAATGCCTGACTTCGGTCTATCATTGATCTTTTGCAACCCTTTCTTCCATATGATACTTCTTTCTCGTTTTGTACTTCTGATTCTTACAGCTAATCTCCCGTTTTTCTTTATTTCTTAGTAATATTAATAAAAACAGTGCATGAGAATCATTTGATTTTAATCTATTATACAATACGTAAAGTGAATAATCGATCAGAAATAATCAGTGATGACAAAAAAACACAAAATGAAATGGAATAAAATATCTAATCTGGTTTATATTCCTTTCTTTATAACAACAGAAATAATCGATTTCAATGCTAGACATTTGATCAGAATATATATTTCTAGAGCTATAATAAATAATATGGAATTGTAGTATTGTGAATATAGTATTAGTGTAAAATAGCTTAATATTTATAAGATCTAATTTATGGGTAAAAGTTTGGACATTCTATTAACTTGATATTGTTTATACCTGAATCTTCTCATTGATGTTTTAGGACTGAAATTGATCAGTCTCTTATTGGCATATGTGCACACTGTGCGTATGCCTCGATATTGCCTTAATTTAATTGACGAGTCCCAAACAAGACGAAACGCGCGTCCTGGATTCAACTGCTAGCCACTATCCATCTTTGCTTATAATTCTATTAACTTGCTTGAAATAGCTTGATTTTAGTCTTTTTTCTAACGGTTCTGTAATCATTATGTAATGTAGGTGTATACAAAAAATATTTAAATACCTGATTTCTTAACAGAACCAATTGTTGAATTCAATCTGACTACAAATACAACTGAGTAACTAGATGCATAAAGTTTTATGGACCAAAATGTTAAAACTTAAGTCAGAGATATTATTATTACCGAACTGAGAATAATACTTCATAAAATATCTGACAACGAAATCAATTTAGTATTCATCTTCTGTAGTTCAGTCGTTCAACATAAGAAAAGATAGCTTATAATCCTGATACCATAATTACTCACTTCACACATATTTATCAAACGTAATTCAAATACAAGTAATATTTGTGGCCCTATATCTGACTCTTGATTTGATCGTGTAATTATCGTCATAGGGTTATCGAAATATACATGTCTCCAACCCTCGTATGTAATCATCGAGTTAAATCGCGGTGGTGAATGAAAGTAGTAAATAAGTCAAATACGAGAATGAATTTTTGAATACGTATATTTTGTGCACTGATTGATTCGAATAGACAATCAGAGGAATTAGGAAAACAGAAGAGAGCAAAGCCAAATGGCGTGCAATGGAGAAAGTGTGTAAACCAGCTCGATTTAATCAAGCGTTAATCGATATTTATAGTAAAACAAAAATAAATGACAGACATGTGATGAGTATGAAAGGAAATGCGCATACATATGCTTACATAGAACAGTCAAGGTTGATAAACGAATGATTAACAAGGTCAAAATATGATTTAAGAAGAATAAATGGACTTGTTCGGAAGCTAGAATATGATGTGTAGGCTTGCATAGCACTACGAACTCTTTTCTAATTATTTTAATAAGTATTAGGCTTACTAGAACAACAGCATATAACTACAAACATGCAGAAAAAATCTATAATTTCCGACTGTTATAAATAGTATAATAACTATTTGTACACAAGTCAAAAGTGATCATCATCCATTATTGCAAAACTGACAACTATACTAAAATCATATTAGGTTAGATATATTAATATTCTCCTCCAATGATCACTTATTTTCAGGGAAAGTTATGTTTTCAAACTGAATAATCATTAGATTACTAGTGCGAAAATGAATTATTAATTATCATTTACCTAGTTGAAATGAGTATTACCTGATGATTTATCTTGAATTCAGCATCGTTTTGTTCATATTCAGAATACCACTTATCCATTTAATAAATGTTTACCATTTGATTTCTATTAAATTCAAAGTATTCTGGCATTTGACTTGTTTAACAAGTACAATAAATGCACTTGATATTGTTTGTTTGAAACTTCTCATTGGTGTGATCAGTTTCTTGTTGGTATATATGTATCCTGTGCCGACTGCTTCAGTTTTGTAAGCAAAGATGGATAGTTGCTAGCAGTGGAATCTAGGACGTGCGTTTCGTCCTATTTAGGACTCATCAGCTGAATGTACCTGCGTCTCAGAGTTATAAATACTACCAGTGAATTCCATTGCTAGGAACCAGTCGTTTTTGCTCATAAAATGTGAATAGATTATTGAAAACTATATATGTTACAGTCGTATTACATTATAATCAATAAAAACCACAATATTTTCAAAGTTTTCTCTGTCTATTTCATATGAACATAATTTCATATCAAAATTAAAGGATGATAAAATAGGTCAAATCATTCGAGTGATGAATTGATGGCTAATAAGCTTTTGATGTTTTATTATAAATTAGATTTATGGTAGTAATTACAAATTATAATTCACTTTTTTCTTGTTCAGTGAACTATGTGTTTATCAGTAATTAATATTTCAGATTATTAAATTAAAATTGAGTGTAGCATAATACAAATTATATAACTGTTTTCCATTTCTTACATTTTCAATCGGATTTTATTCTATCCAAACACAAAAAAGCTGTTACTTTCTACAGGAGCTCCAATGCTTTTTTTGACAACGAGTGCTCTAGTGTCTTGAAGCACTTTATCAAACATCAATGGTCCCTGACTGATCAACTTCCCGAGAAAAAAAGTCTCTTACATGAAGATTATTATTTTTATTTATCATCAGAAGCGTAAAATAAGCATGTAGTTACAGACCCAAATCAGATTAGCTCTCTAACTTGGTAGAATTTTGTTATGATAGTTATGGTTTAATAAACCAAAAAGATAAATATAGTCGAGAGGCACTTATAAATATAGATTTCTTGTTTATTATAGACCATTATAAGATCATATTTCACAACTACATAGAATACATATACTCCTTTCTATGATTATCTTAATTTTCATACTACTTATCCAATGTGTTATGGCTACTTAACATTGGGCAATTTTCAATTCAATAATAACCTAATAAAATGTAATCAAATCACAAATTAACAAGCATACACACATATTATTATATAAATTAAATAATAAAAACTCATTGATAACAATCATGAATTCACCTTCTCATATTTCAATATATAAACATTGTTTATTTATATATATATATATATATTACACTATTCGATTTCCATTTAGTTAACAAACAAGATAAGGTCATTTCATCTAATAATCAAATAAAACTAATCAATATAAAGTTGCTGTGTTTTATTTCTCCTTATTTTTCGCCTAAAAAAAATAAAATCATTAACAAATGTAGGTGAGAAAGAAAAGAAAAAAAGAAAGAAGGAAAGATAAAAAGAGTAATCTGTAATATTCAGTAAAGTATATTTTATTACAAACACTCTATACTATACCTCGTTTGTTTGTTTGCTTTGTTTTATTTTTTTTTTGTTTTTTTTTGTTGTTGATAAAAATGGTCAGAAAAAAATTTGACCTGATAAAATAAATAACTTTTTCTTTTTGTTAAAGATTAATCTAACTCTCTCTTTTATATACATAAGTAGTTAGTTGATTCCAGTCTCTTTAATATGAATTATTATTATTATTATTGGTAGTAACCACTGTCAACACCAATCTATTGAATAGTTTGTGGGTTTCCGACTTTTAACGTCAATAGAATGAATGACCTCTTGGAATACATTTCAAGAATGAATATGCGAAATTTTTTAAAAAAAAACGTCATAAGGTAGAGAATGAAAAAGAAATAACATTAATTAATATTTAAGTAATAATAATATTAGCCTGTATGTACTACAATTTGAAGTGGTCATATGAAATTAATAAAAATTTGTGAAAAGTTTGCAAATATAAATACGTCATGTTGTTTAGATTGAAGTAGGATTGTATTCTAATATGAGAACTGATAAGATTACTAACGTAACTACATAAACGATTAACATATGGTTTAAATCAGTAATAAGTACGTAATTTGAGATGGATGATGGCTAGCAGTAGAATCAAGGATGCGTGTTTCGTCTTATTTGGCACTAGTCAACTGCATATACCTCAACCTATTAGTTGGTGTTCACAAAGGGAAGTGAATCTAGTACGATTCGATTCAAATGATTCTGTGCTCAAGTCCCTGAATGAACATCTACTGTGGGGTACAGGTATATACAGCTCAAGATTTTCAAATAGGACGAAATGCACGTTCTGGTTTCCAGTGCTAGCCACTATCCATCTCTGCTTATAACGCATATGACTTGAGAAAATTCTCACAGGATCCATATATGTCAGTAAGAGACTGATCAATTGCACTTCTCAATATCAGTGGGAAGATTCAAAGAACCAGTTTCAAAAAATAATATCCTGTGAAGAAACTTCGTAATTAATGAATTTTATATCAGGCAGTATGTATTTATCAGAGGTATGATTCCTGAATCTTTAGGTGGCTATTTTCACTCATATAAGTCATATGCTTGTTTTAAGTGGTTTATAAATTATGTTTATATATATAAGATGTTTTCATTTCCTAACTATACAGCACAATCTTTAGCTATCCGGTATATAAAGCCTGGACATTCTATACAATATTATACCGACAATCATTATTTTACATAATTTTTATTGCTCAAAATAAACCCCTTTTTTAATTGTGCTTCGTATGCCTTTGATTTTATCATCCAGAACTGATTTCAGCATCCTATCAAGGAATTACATAAACACTGTCTCATTTAATGATTGAAATCTAAATCATTATTCCTCCAGTTATTTGAACGTCACCTATGGTACATCGAAGGAATTCGTTTAAATATCTAATCGATCATTAGAGTGTATCTGACAATTTTCGTTTTTAAACTAAGTTACACCATGGATTTGTAGTAAATTAGCCTAATCTAGTAATCCAATATTAAAACATAGTGTTATGATATTGTAGTTCATCACATACTTAATAAAACTAGTTGGAATCGTCAGGAATTTTGAATAAAATATAAGGCACTTCACTTCACAGTAAAAATATACAAATTCATGGCAGTTGGTTCGAATTATAGATAAGTAGTACTAAATAATATATTATTATTCTATCCCTTTCCTAAGTTTTATTTTCATTACAACATAGTATTATAAGTAAAAACAAACGAAGTAAAATGTAGTGTTGCTGTAGTTTAAAAAAAGTAGTCTGAAAATGGAATCCAAGAAGCGCTTTCCGTTTTATGTGGCACTCGTCAACTGGGTAATCTTTTTGATTAAAATATCCCTTTACTCAATTAAAAACTACCACTTTAAATAAAACCATATATTCATTATTCATATACATATATCATTTGAGTAAAACAACTTAAATGAAATCATGTGTAAAATTAATTGTTTGTATATGGGTGAATGAGTTCAATTTTAGTCTGTCTACAAAATATATGCATTCAAGCAGTAATTCAATAAAATGTTCGATCAATTTTTCTTCTCTACTCATTTATTAACTATAGTTAGAGTTATAAACTATGAGATAATCTATTTTAGTTATTTTTGTATACTTATATATTGAGTCCCAGAATGATCATCAACTCTGAGATGTAGGGACATTCAGCTGACGAGTCCCAAAAAAGATGAAGCGCCTGTCCTAGTATCCATTGCTAGCCACCGTTCACCTCTACTTATAATCACTATGTAAATTTTTTGATTTATTACTCATATTCTTTCAAAAGCTAAACATAACTTCCTTATTTTCTTCTCAGTTTGCCGGTTTATTTTCTTTGCGTTGCTATATGAGATGTAGCAACTAGGAACAACCCGAACTCGTCCTAGGTCGTCCATCGATGACGACTTACAGACGGAAACATATTAACAATTTTCTTAGAAGTGCAATACATTACTAATAATGATATTTGTTGTCGATATTCATATTTTAAATAAACATTTCGAAAGGACGTAATTTGAATTGTTTATTCACTTCCATTTATTATCAGGGACACCCGAAAACTCTCGAGTGGCTTTAAAATCTTTAACAAAAGAAGAGAATTACAGTCAGAAAAACAAGCCAGGTAATAGAATAATTATATTAACTAAAGAGATTACCAAAAAATTATCGTTTTGTAACATTCAGAGTCAAAATAAGTGGCAAATCTAAAGTGAAACAAGTTACCTCATATTTACTTTAAATAGATTTTAAAATAGACGAACATTCGAGACACAGATAGATATTTAATAGTATATTCATGTTTTAAGTTTATGTGTTCGTGTTCCATTAATCTCTTAATTTACTTTTAAAGCGACCATATTGATTAGTTTTTGTCATTGTCTAAATAAATATGCTAATTCTACTTGAAATTCTGAAATTTTATGTCTGAAATGACAGCCTTACAAAGAATTTAATAGATTGCATGTATTTAGGGATAAAATATTTGTCTTAAGTGGTCTAAAATAGATGAATTAACGATCAAACTGATAGATATAATTGCAGCATGTACCATATATATATGTTTCTGCATAGTAATCTGCTTCATTGAGGCAGACAAGTAACCTAGGGTAAATCCTCTAAACATTGTTTGTTTTTACAGTTGTAAGGAAAAGAATAATATCTTCCAATTACACAAAGGTGCTACCTGATCAAACCATTTCTTATTGACCAAAGAGTTCAATTTGTAAAGTTATACTTACATGCGATCTGCAGTAATAATAATAAAATAGAACATGTAGATTTCAACTGACATAAGGCTCGTGGTAAAATTCAATGACTCAATATTTCTTCCTTATTGCAGTTTTGAATGAACTCCATTAATCAGTCTCTGCATTTTTCATCGTAATTTTTGTTAACTTTATTGACTAATATCTGATATACAGCCTACTGATTAGAGGAATGCTTTAAAGTTTCTCACAGTGCTAAATGAATAAAATAGTCATGGTAAAGAGTATTATTCAATCAAATTATCCCACGTATAAATAAATGAATTTACTGAATTTAAGCGTGGAACAAAATCAAAATGTTATTTATGTACTGCTAGATCTCTGAAACTGATAAGTGAACAAAACAACCGCTATAGTTCTATGAATTTTTAACAAAACTTTCAACTTTGTATCTCTAATGCATCTATTCTGATAGTAAGCAATCGTCCTAAATATACACACATTTTATCACCGAACGATGTGTGTATACAACTTCTGTTAACTAGTCTGTGATTTGTTTTCCTTAAGTATTTTAAAATTGGCCGCTTAAATCTTCTACTTCAAATATCCAACATATTGATAAGTAATTGAACTGAAATAGGATTCTTTTCAACTGAAATGTGGATACTTAATCCCAGCATAGTGATAAGCAATTTGGCGTTTATCCAAACATCACTTCAAAAAAGTCAAAGGTTTTAAGTTGGAGATATAGAGTAAATAAGCTGGTTGAGTAACTATTACAGAATATTTCATATTTTTAATAAGAAGAATGAAGGTTACATTGATTATTTAATGGTACACACTAAGCAACAGAATGAATTTACTATCGAGCTCAAGTATATGAGGCACTTAGTTCGAATTATCGCTTAATATTTTCATTTCCTTATTAAATTATTAACCACTTTGCCTAGTTATTCACTAACAGTACTACCCTATGCTAATTGACTATAACAATAATTGTACTAATTCATTTTTCTCTTAGAAACCCTATCATCAGTGCGTTATTCAATACCCTAAAGTGTTTTTTTTATAATTTTATTCTTTTTTTTTGACTGAATTATGCTAAGTAGTTATTAAATTACCAGTAGAAGTTTAAACAATCTTAAGAAGCCATTTAAAATAATAAAAAAATTGCCTAAACGTAGCTAAAGTTAAAGCTTATGGTTTTCACTACAATTTAATTGTGAAACATGTATTTGTCAAGGTTTCACTTCTTCTCATCATAATACACTAAACTTTGCAGAAAATTACAAATAGCTACTAAAAATCAAATCATCAGTACTGATTACACCAGGATGAATATCTTAACGTGGAAAGCTGTAAACGAAGAACTCAATCAAATCAGATTTGAACAATATTACAAACATAAAAACTGGACGGACAAGGTTTCGAAAAGTGTAAACTGAGTGAATTCTAGAATGTTGACTGTTGGATACCAATCTAGTAACTTAGTTCAGTTAAGTATATCTGGAGATCTAAAGGATTCGGATTTCATTCCAAGTTGTACTGCGAAAACCTGCTATAAAATGTTTCAACTTATAAGTAGCTGTGATGTACTCAGTAGATTCCAGTGGTTCATCACAATAAATTAGCTGGTATGCATATACATATATGTAGTTTTAATTTTTGAAAAATATTAGATTTGACTAAGATAAAGCCGACTAGTAAAGGCATACATATTATTATTACAATATGGTTGATTCATCATATCTGAGAGTATAAGTAGGGATGATTTCATTCTGATGTTCTTTATATCATCAACACTTTAATTCTCAGTTCACTCACTATAGTATAAAATACCTCATTTTCGTATGGATTATTAATAATGTTTTACAACTAGATTTCATCTTCATCTTGTAATTTAACCTTAAATTGTGGATATTATGAAAGTTTTATGTGTGTAGAATATTGAAGCCTTATATTAATTTCGTTTATTGTTATACAATCGAGTAATCTTAATGGTCCCTAAACAAAGCCTAGTACATTATATTACATATTGCCAATGAAATGTATGAATACATGAATCACTGAAAGTTGGCTTCGGTGACGAATAAAACTCTTCAGAAGTAGTCACTAGCTAGCATAATCTTAACTTCCGAAAAGTAAATTTCCTCCGATGCCAAGTTTCCGTCTTTCTGATCAGTTGAATTTTCATCAAATATTCTTTTTGGGATGACAAAGATGTCATGTGTTGGTACGACAGTTAGACGTACTGAAACAACATCTTTATGCATTCAGCATTTTTGTCAGATGGTTAGATTCAATTATTAGACAGGTCTAAATCAAAGTGTGATGTTTGTTACTAAGGCTCACTTGCTGTCTTATTGATGATATTTTCCACAGAGTCTGTAAAAATACAATTGAATTTAAGAGCAAGCCGTCACAAGTTCATAAAAAAATTTATCTTTAAATGTAATTGTTCAGTCTTAACTAACTAAACAACCAAATGATAAATAGTTTTGCTTGATCTTTTTCTTCATGAAGACATTTATCGTAGCAGTTGGCATTGGGAACTGAGCAGCTTGTATCTCATAATCAAATCAGTGTTACTCTTGGTTCACAAAATGTAAATAAGATTGGGTTTTAATAAGTATGGGGTTGCGGATATTGTAGAGTTTGTGGTTGAAATCATGAATCGATCGACGTTAGACCACCATTGGAAACTTGGATACACTGGACGGCCGTTTTGTCCTAGCACAGGACTGCTCAACAGCACGCATCCACGATCTTGAACCCAGGACCTTCGGCCTCACACGCAAACCCTTAACCTCTAGACCACTGAACCGAAATCCATCTTTGTTAGTAAGGTAGCCAAAAAAGAGTATGAGCTTTGAGGTTACTGTCTGTGGTTCAATCATGATGAAGAAAAATTAAAGTGTCGCATGGACCTAAGTTCAAAAAAATAAGTTACTTTCATTTTACTTAACATTATCGGATAACAGAAACACTCAAGTGATCTATAATAACTACTTTATTTGATGAATTTGAATCAAACTAAAAGATAATCTGTATGTTTTAGCCTTAACAGTTAAAAAAATGAATTTAAATTAACAACTGAACTCAATGAGGGTTGCAATGATTTATTCCCAAGATTCTTGAAGAAGTTTATACCGTACTTATTTTCATATAGTGAATAACCAATCGTATCACAGTTTAGTTATTTATAATTTGTGTATAATATAGCTCGATTTAACGTTTATTAAATCAACCATCAAAAATGATATTCACAAATACTTTGATATGACAAATCTTTGACGTCAACAATGATTTATTTAAGTTCATATAAGAACTTACCTAGTTCTATGTAGCTAAAAAACTCCTTGTGAATATCCTTTTTGATTTGGATAGAAAAAAAAATTTAAAATTCAATTTTCAAGAGAGGTGATTGATGTTTGTTTACTTACAAATAGAAATATATTGTACTTTAAGTGCTCTCATTTGATTTAACACTAAACTAATCCTCTATCATTTGAATGAATATTGGATCAATTATCTGCTTTGTAAACATACTTCATACTTTCCGATTCTGTTACTGACATGTACAAACCAAAACAATCCTCACAGTTTCTAAATACTGTGATGATTCCTAATAAAGAATAGAATAAGGTTTAGTGTGTAGACCTGGCAGTTTGTATAATTTGCGAAATATCCAATCCAGGAAAGTTTGTTACATTTTATGTTTGTATTCGTACTATCAGTACGATCATACTATAGACTTTCCATAAAAGATAAATACTTTAAACATATTTAGGTAGTCGACGTTTTACAGAACCAGTATTATTCAGCTCACAGAGACAATAATTTCATGAATGTTGAATTACAACACTTTAATTACTGTTACTTACTAAAGTCATGCATTAACCGTCATATTATGATGCCACATATTTGCAGTTGTAGGTGTAGATCATTAAATCAATAAGTATTATCAGAAAATGATGGGTTCATCGCTAGAATTATAAGTTCTCAATGACATATTATGCCAGGATCACGAGTAAACATTACTGGAGGAGAATATGTTATGAAAACATGACTTACCCAGTACTTCATTACATACAAAGGTCCCATAGGTGCTGTTAATCTAAGTAGAGAACCATACTCAAATGAAACTAATATCTATAACCCTAACTAATAAACCATTCATTCATCATAAACTTATATATTCATCCAACATAATGACCACAACTAAAATCAACACAATTCACCACTAAATATAATGGAACTAACACATTTAAACCTACTTTCTAAGTGCTAAATGATATGCGTATTGAAAACAATTTAGAACTTAAATTACAAAAAATAAATAAATAAATAAAACTATTTTTTCTTATCATCATCTAATAGCTACTTAGAATAAAACATTAAAACCCTTTTTTTAAATTTAACTACATTTCAGCTATTTCCTATTTTCATTATAGTGGTTGTAAAGATTGTTAAGTTTTTGATTGAGATCAGGAACCGATTGATGTTAGGCCACCATTGAAAACCTGGAATCACTGGACGTTCGTCTCGTCCTATTGTGGGACTCCTCAGCAGTGCGCATCCACGATCCCGCTCACGGGATTCGAACTCAGGGCCTTCGGTCTCGCGCGTGAACGCTTAACCTACTAAATCACTTAGCCGGCATCCAATGGTGATAGTGTCTAACCTCAACCAATCACAATTGATTGATCACTGGGTGGTGATCAATGTCATGCTTGTCTAGTCCTTATTAGTGCAGATCGAATGCTATCGATCGTGTTGCAATGTGGCCACCAGTCTAGGTGACTCGACACTGCGGGCACTATTTATTGAGATTTAGATGGTGGTTGGAGGTAGTCAACAAGAAACCCTGGACCTGGGTTTCGTGCTATTTGGCACTTGTCAGCAAGGTGTACCTGTAATCTTGAGGGAACTGGTGCTCCCTGGCTGATTTGATCTCGTGTCACCCAGCTTCACAGTCAGAGACGTTACCACTGAGATATCCGAGTCGTGACTAACCTCCTGTAGGACTGAGATGTAATCACAATTGATTGATCACTGGGTGGTGATCAATGTCATGCTTGTCTAGTCCTTATTAGTGCAGATCGAATGTTATCGACCATGTTGCAATGTTGCAATGTGATTACATCTCAGTCCTACAAGAAGACGGTCACGGCTCGGATAGCTCAGCAGTAATGTCTCTGACTGTGAAGCTGTGTGACACGGGGTCGAATCCATCAGGGAGCACCAGTTCCCTCAAGATTACAGGTACACCTTGCTGACGAGTGCCAAGTAGCACGAAACCCGGGTCCAGGGTTTCCTGTTGACTACCTCCAACCACCATCTAAACCTCAACCAATCCACGAAATTGCACGACCATCTTCCACTGTACTGAAGTAGATACCTGTTTCTACCTGACATGGATTAGCTATTTATTAAACAATAATTAAAGGGCTTCAATAAAATTAATTATGAAGAAAAAACAAAAAGAATTACGTAACTTTTTGTTTAACACTGAAACAATATTTCCCGATTTAAAAAAATAAAAAAAACAAGAAAGCAATTTACGAAAATTATTGAATGTCAAAGGTAGTTTGTGTTGTTTGCTTGCTTGTTTTTTGTTTGTTTGTTTGTTGTTCTTTTCTTCCGGTAAACAGATTTATTCTATTTATTATTCAATATTATATAATATGTACCTTTAAGTAAAAAAGAAAAGAATAAATAAATAAACCATATGACATAAATCCTGTGGTGATTTTTGACATAAATATTTTGTTACTAAGACGAAAAGTATCACGTGATTAAGCCTTGAATCTATATTATTAAATTATTGTGACATATTCAACTGTTAAAATTTTTTTTAAATTATCCAAAAGCTAGTTTATATAAGATTGAAATAATCAAAATGTTTTTTAAATGATTGAAATATAGTAGTATAAGTTAGTTGAATTAAAATTTTTATAACCGTTATTTTATCAATTATTTAATTAGTCAAGTGATTATCTATAGGATATAGACATTTTACAATGAACTGATGTGTTATTAAATTTACTTGATGTTATTTTAATTATATCTTCTCATTGTTATTTAGGAGTGCAATTGATCAGTCTCATATTGGTATATGTGGATCTTGTGTGGATTGCCTCGATATAGTGTTAAGTCGCAAGCTTTATAAGCAAAGATGGATAGTGGCAAGCAGTGGAATTTAGGATGCGCGTTTCATCCTATTTAGGACTCGTCATTTTGATGTACCTGCATCTTGGAGTTGATGTTTACTTCGAGCTTCGGTCTCAGTACCATTCGCCTCAAACATATGCTGACATGAGACTGAGCAATTGCAGTCCTAAATAACAATGGGAAGATACAAGTAAAACAACACCAAGTGCATTTAAACTTCATTTCACTGCACAAGCAGGTGGCGATGACGTTTGAAGCGAATGGTCCTGAGTTCGAATCCCGGAGTGAACATTAACTCTGGGATGCAGGTACCTTCAGCTGACGAGTCCCAAAGAGGACAAAACACATGTCCTCGATTCCACTGCCAGCCAATATCCATCTTTGATTTGTTACTAGTTTGATTTTATGTCTTAATAAGAAATTGTTTTGTTTAGTTCATATGTAATAAATAAGCTGATAGGATAGTGAAAATATGAAACTTTGAATGTTATTCATTGGTAAATCAGTATAAATATGTATTTTTAAGTCTTATTTACAAAAAAGGCAGTGTATGATACATTTATACTGTGTTATTTGTAGGCTTTTATTGAACTCACTAACTATTAATAAATCTTAGACTATTCACAAGTTCTTGTAAATTTGTCATCAACTTGTTTTGTATCGCAACTATATAGTTTCTGTAAAGATTAATTTGTATATATGTATGTGTTATAGCCCAGTACTTCCATTTTTAAATCTTTTATGTTTTAAAGTCTGAATACTGAAGAACAGTGCGAGGTAATTGGTTTGTTTTTGAGGTGTTCTGGTTAGTGAATGATTATGTGTGAAAATCTTATGTATATTTAGTGGCCCTCTATCTAACTCCAATTAGATTGAACAAATGATTTTTACCGAATGATTGCTACTTAAGTATATATCCTTGCTATCCTCGTATATAATTGCTGACTTAAATCACTTTAACGAATGACGGTATTAAATAAGTCAAATACGAGAATGAAGTTTCGAATATGTATATTTTGTGCACTGATTGATTTAAACAGACAATCAGAGGAATGAAGCAAACAGAAGACAACAAAGCCAAATGGCATGCATTGGAGGTGTGTAAGCCAACTCGATTTAATCAAGCGTTAATCGATATATATAATCACACAAAAATAAATTACAGATATGTGATATGTAGAGCAGGAAATGCACACACATTCGATTATATATGAATAGTCAGTGTTGATAAGCAAATAATTGACGAGGTTAAAATGTGACCTAAGAAGAATGAATAAATTGGTTTATCCGGAATCCAGAATAAACTGTGTGAGCTTAAAATAGCAAGCGACACTACATATACATCATTTCATTACCGCATACAGTAATCGTGGTAATGAACAGAAGTTATAGAATAATATAATAAATCGCTCTATTAGTGAGTATTAAACACTTACAACCCATAATATTAAAAAGATTTACCTAATTCGTTCCATTATTTAAATAAAAAAAGCAAAAGACTACTTAGGCAGGATAAAAGACTCAATAAAAGTTCATAATAGCATAGACTTTTGCTCATCATGTTCAGTTAGCTGATATAGGAAGTTATAAAAATCTATCGGCGGCTATAATGTGCTCACAGTGTTTTACTTATAGATAAGTAAATTAATTAAGATCAATCTAGTCCTGTAGTAACTATCAACTATGGGATGCAGGTACATTCAACCAAAGAGTCTCAAATAGGACGAAACGCTCATCCACCATCCACCATTATTCCAGCTTATTAAAGTATTAGGATAAGTAAGGGAACATTAATTGTGAGCTTAGACAGGAAGCATTACGTCCAGCTTTATTAATTTGCATTCCTATATTAATAAAATTATTTATTTTCTGACTAAAAACACCTTAGGTAATATATGGTTGGTATTGAGTAGAAAAGAAACAGATTGTCATTTAAAAACCAAATCAATCCTTAGGTACTAGGAAATCAATAGTACTAATAAACTTTAACAAAATTTAATATGAGAATTACTTTACAAGTTGAAAAACATTCCCATACATGATAAATTTTACCATCACGAGAAAAAAACAATGGTATCGATGGCTTCGCTGATCAACTATCGTTTACATGATTTTAATTAAAGATAATAAAATAATCTGTTGAAAAGAATAATTAAGATTAGTAAATAAACAAATGTGAAATAAGGGAAACAATACGATTTATTTATATACAAATACGATAGTTGAACTCAGAAATGGTCAACATTTCAACAGTTATGATAGAACACGTTTCTGGTTAGGCTGATCTATATCTTATAATGGTATCTGTAAGAAAACTGTCATAAATCTTCAACTATGTTAATAGTACATTAATTTTTATTGTCTGAAAACACCTTTAATCTCGCTTACACATAGTGTATTATTATGAATTGAAGATGAAACTCTTTGACATGAAATCTATGTAATAGAAGAAAATTTACTTTTCCTAATAGAAAACTGTTTGATACAGTCAGAAATTCAATCACAAAATACTACTGTTACAGAGATTTCGAAAAAAAGATAATAGGGTGTGTTACGTTAAAGTGTTTGTGGATTCAATCCCTGTAAGGTTAGTAAATATTCATTTTGGAAAAGTTAACAAGTGTTCAGTGACTTCTGACTTCCACTGATTCCTTAGCTGAATTCAGTTCATATTGTATATCATCCTTGAAATGAAAAGTATTTTCACGACTTTAAACAGCATCTGTTAATTTCAAGTGTCATTACAACAATATTCAGCACAAAACGTACTATTGGCTACTTATAATTCTTTTTACATGAACTCTAGTGTACTTTTCCATTGTTCTATCGAAGCCTAGAAAAAGATATAGAACATATTAACCACTCCACTGTTTTTTCTTCAGTGTATTTAACCTGATGACGAATTTTAATTAGATTACATATTCTATCTCACTAGGATAATTTGATTTGCTTGATCTCCTTTATTTGTTTAGATGATGAAATTAATCATTCGAAACATGATTCTAAACTATCCAATAGTCAAATTCATACTAACAATGTAAACAAAATCATATCCAATCCTATATCTCGTTCAATGACAAAATTGAATTCTTTAGCACCAGAGGATGCGATACATAGTGATAATTTTGAAAATCGTCCAAGTTCAGCTAAAGATTTAACTACTAACGATGTACAGTCTAAATTCGTAAATGTTTCTACTATGTCCATTTTCAAAGGAAGTAATAGTTTTAATAGTAATAGTAAAACTAACAGAATTCAGTCAACTACAGGCTATTTGAATTCAGATAGTAATTCGGATAAATTAAGTACGATTAAGTATACACCAACAGAATCTAATTCAGAAGTGATGCTTATGAATATAACCAATTCATCGGGACAGCCAATTTCAATAATAACTAATCCAATACAAATTGATACATCGCAAGTGTCTAACGAAGATATTATGAATACTGGTCAAAGTGGAACAGTTTCATCAGCATTAAAAATAGAAGCAGTGTCGACAGCAACAACAGCAACAACGACAACTACCACGGGACTAACAACTAACTACATTCCAAACCCAGACTCATATTTAACAGCTCCTACTACATTCTTTTATTTCTATAACAATGAAGGGCAGTTATTTGCACTTCCAAGTAATGCACTAATTTTTCCTACTACTGTTGGTCGCCTTGGCACAACAACTGTATCAAATGAGACAGCATATAGTAGTCCATCAACATTTATTACTCCACAAGTAAATGGAAATAACAGTAGTACCAATTGTTGTAATAATTCTTCTACCATTCGTACTACAGGTTGTGTTTCCAGTTATGAAGTTCCAGAGCAATTGTATTCAGGTCCAAATTATAGTACTATTCTTAAAAATACTGATAATAATCAATGTCGTGATCTTATATCGAGTTATTCAGTGCCTATACAACCTCCATTTCTTAATGGATTTCATCAATGGGTACCTGGTCAAATTACCTTAGATAATCAAACAGGAATTCAACAACTTCAAAACTCTTCCACTAATTCTTTAGTGATGCCATCGAATCAAGGTGTAATTTTACATCCATCATGTCCATTTCCTTTACCTTCAGTTGGATTAATTCAACCATTAATATCAAATATTTATTCTAATCAAAATTTCAATTCTACATCTAGTTCAGATGATAATAATAATCGTAATAATTCATCTAAACAAAAGAATAATCAATCTAATATTTGTTCACTTATGAATCGGTCTACAGATCAATTTAAATTACGTCGTTTTACTAATGATCTACCAAGTTTACTAGGTAATGCTAAATCAACTCGTTCAGGTATGACTTCTGGAAAATTAATTAATTCCAATAATAATCATTCAAAATATTCTGGTAAAGGTTTAATGTCCACATTTTTAGATGATTATAACAATACATTAAATAATCAGACAGTTGCTAATCGTCAGAAAAAGGTAAGTTTATTTATTATGATTCACTTATTCATTACTTGTATTGATTTGATTAGAAGTATTACAGGATAAACATTTTCTTGCAACATTCACATAGCAAAAGGTGATAATAACAAATAACAATTTAGATATAAACCGTATGATGTAATTACCTGTTAACATTTTCAACAGTGAAACAATTTTAGATGTCGAATTCATCGAATACCAAATTGATTTTTTACTCATTCAATAAGTTAATCATTCCTACAACTAGTTTATCGGTATAAGCTAATGCTTAGTAGTCATTCAAATATTTCCTCTTTGTGATTTCGTGAAACGTTTGGATGATCGATTTCTATGTTTCAACTTTTTTGCAAGTAACTATTGTTTACGTATTTGATAATGACTAGTACTATGATTCAGGATACATTTGGGAATTTCAATAAAAAATCACTCTCAAGTACAAACACTCATTGTAATATGAATCCATCCTAATAACCGACTTCATACAAAGTATTAGTCGTCCTAATGATTCCAATATTGACCACTAACAATTATTTTATGGACAAATAATAATCTAGGTAAATACTAATCATTACGTGACGATTGTAAGAATATTACAGTTGTTAGCTTGCATTCAAAGTCTTGTCTATTTTCTAAAAAGAACTTACTAGTTTATGCATTAAGAAGCTGATTGTTTAAGTGAAAAATCTACCAGTTAATGTAACATAATGCTGCATGTATTGATTATCACATCAGACAGATATAAGTTATAATGGGACTGTTGAGTAGATAAATGATAACGGTTAATCCATAGAAAGTGTATATGATTTTGTTACATGATAAATAAGAAAACATAAATGCATACAGATGTGATCAATTTCAAGGTCATATCTGTTGTAATGATTAATAGTGAATGATATATTGGTTCCAACTGTTGTTTACAATTAAAACCGATGTTCAAGAACATATATGTTTTATTATATTGTTTCAGTTAGCCATTTTATTTCTGATTTAACACTATATACAATGTTTATAGATATTCCAACATGGATTTAAAGTTTAACATATTTGTTTTGTCTAAAAAGCCATTTTTATTAAGTTACCCTGAATGAAATCTAAATAATGTCAGATATCAACGAAAAGAAAAGCGTTTTCAACCGTTTAAATGTAAGAAAATTTCCTAATTAGATTAAATAAATTCAAGTAGTTTGTTTGTACTATGTTAAATTCTAAAATTCATCATTTAAAGAAAATATCATCTGTATGGTCATCATCAGATACCCAACTTTTCAAGTTACATTACCAAAATACTTTGCCAAATCTATTTCATTGACGTCATTGCTAAATTTTACACACTAGTATTTCTATTTGTCAAATTTTAATGTCACAATTTAACATCTGTTATCAGTATGGGGTTGTAAAGATTATTAGGTTTTTGATTGAGATAATGAACTGATTGATGCTAGATCACCATCCACGATCGTGGATGCGTACTGCTGAGAAGTTCCACTGTAGGAAAAAACGGCCGTTCAGTGCTTTCAGGTTTTCAATGGTGATCTAACATCAATCGTTTTATGATCTCAATCAAAAACTTAACATTTATTATTGCAATATTGTTAAACACAAACAAATATTTTAGACTTTTTTGTTTTCTTTTTGTATATAGCATGCATCGAAAACAAATCTTTATATTCGTGGATTACCAACTTCATTTACAGAAGAAGAATTGCATACTTTAGCACCAGATCGAAAATTGATACGATCAGTGAAGTTAATTGCTGGAGCTGAAGGCGAAAGTAAGATAATATGAATATTGTTTTTATCAAAGCTCTAAACAGTTCCTGTTAGTTTCTACATGATTTTTTTTATTTTTTGAAAAAATAATCCAGAAATTTAATATTAAAGGTATGAACCTTTCATGTAAAATTAAGCAAATAATTAATAAGTTTCATTAACTAAGAATAGAAACTCTTCGAAACTAATGATCTGAATGATGTTATTCGATCAAAATCAAAATTATTCAAAAACATTTTACTGTTATAAAGCATTGGAACATTTTAAGTGAAAGGTTTCTTTTCAATATAAACAACATTGTGAATTGGACAGATTTAACTGATGTATTACGAAATCAGTTCGAATTATTTTGTTACATTTTGATGGTTGAACTTGATTAGCTTACAAGTATATCGAAATTTTTCAATTCCAGTCTCTAATGACTATTTTATGCAGGAAAATGCATTTCGTACTTTCCTATGCATTTGCGGTTACTATATGTTTTGCACTGAGTAGAATACTCGTTGAATTTTGAATCACAATCTCGTGTAATTATCTAATTCTGAGTTCTATCTTAATGCAAATACAATGAAGATCTGTGTATTAGTTTCAAATGAGAGGATATCAAGATTATTTTAGTTGTTTTTGTACATATATACTGAATACTGTGAGTTTGAACCCTAAAGAGTTGTATTAAACATTCTATTAATATCATCAGTTGAAAAAATATTAAACATAAATAGTGTGAACTTGCAGCACATTTCAAAACATATTACATGGTATTACATAGGTTCATAACGTCTAATATTATACGTTGTTCAGCTATTTACTCTAATACAATGATGACTACTTGAAGTTAATACTTTTTCTGTTTTTCCATGAAATGAGCCCTCAACTTCATACTTACCTACATACATACGACTCTTACTTCTCATGGAAGAGCATATCCTACCCACCAGAAGTCTTTATCTAACTCCGTCTTGGACACTCTTTTTCAGTTCTTTCCAGTTCCTATTCATTCTTTTCATGTTCGCTTCCAACTCACAACGAAGTGTGTCCGTAGTAAAGATCATTGTGACAGCGATAAAAAAAAAGTTTTATTAGTTCAAAAAAATGTTTATAAACCAAAGTTTCATTTAAACGCTTTATTTTATTATTTGTAAATTCGATTAATTTTTTTTTCTTGTATATTCAGTGTACGGATTCATTGACTTTGTGAATAATGAAGCAGCTAAATCTGCTTTGTTGCATATTAAATCAGGAAATCGTGAATTATATGTAAATTTTGCTTATGTAAGTTGATTTATTTAAGACTACATATGGTTCGTTTTTTTCCAAGTAAATTTTTTGTTGAGATCATGAGTCAAATAAAGCTAGACCACCATGAAAAACCTGAAAGCACTGGACGGCCGTTTCGCCCTATTGTGGGACTATTCAGCTGTAAGCATCGATGATCCCTCCACGCGAGATTTCAACCCCAGGACCTAACGGTCTCAAGAGGACGCACGACCTTTAGACCATTGAGCTGGCATCCAGTGGTATTGACATCTAATTTCAACTAATCCATGAAATTGAGCGACACATCCACCATTGTCATCAGTGAGTTACTATCTCACAACAGACCCGGGTTGAACTACACTGGTCACTGCTCACTAAAATTCCAGGAAATACCTCTTCAAGCCAGTCACTAGTGAGCATATGCTGATTAGTATCAGAAGGGGCTTTTGTGGAAATTACAGTAATTTCAATTGTTGAGATCATGAGTCAGTTGAAGCTGGTCTATAGGTCTTGGGTTCGAATCTCATGAGGCGGGGTCGTGGATGTGCACTGCTGAGGAGTCACACAAAAGAACGTAACGTCCGCCTAGTGCTTCCAGGTTTTTCATAGTGGTTTAGTTTCAATTGACTCATGATCTCAATTATTGAAGTCGCTATAATATCCACAAAAACCCCTTCTAATAAATTATTTGTATTTATATTTTATCAAGTTAAGTTGTTTTACATTATTTACCTGAGCATAACTATTCATTTGATACCAAGTAATATATTTACATGAATTATTTCACTGGAATGTCATAATGTCAACTTATTTTCTAGAAAATAATATAGTGAGACTATAATTTATGGACGAACGTTGACAGATGTCAAAGTGACCTTGAGAAAATCCACCTTATAACCAGGACCAAATAAGGGTAATAAACCTATGTGAGGAATTAAAATTATAATTTACAGTTGTTGATTAAGGTTAGGAATTAAATTGTGGGTTTATAGTGAAAAAACTCGATTTAGCCAAAGGGATGTGTGCATTTTGCGCCGAAACCCGAGACCTATTATCTTATACGTGATTGGTTCGTCAATAAATTATAATATCGTCAATAATATTATCAAGATGAAATATATATTTTTTTAAATCCTTTAAACTGACTAATAATCTTTTAGATCTGATAAAACCTTATGGGTATTTTTTTTCTTCTATTTATCATTCAAATAAACTTCAAACTAGCAGGATCAGAATGTCTGTTTATAGGGTTGAAACGAATTTTCCAAACAGTTAATGATATTTATTGTAACATTATGATGATAAGTATGCGTGCTTGAGTGTTGAAAAATTATACACTAAAATGAAATGTGGTGAATTTTATGGTTCCTTTTTTAACTTTACAAAATAGAATTAAACTCATTCGTAAGAAAGGGAATAATATTCGGTAATATAGTTGTTGATTATTAATTGTAGTTTTCATTGAATTCCATGTTATAAATCTCTTTCCTATTTTCATTGATTATAAATAATACCACATTTTAATTTCAGTCTAACCATTTCTATTAGCAAGAACAAAGATTGGTGCAGAATAATATGAATTCATTTTATTTCGTTAGGTTCTCATCAGCTGCTTACAACCTAAAATATTTTGAATTCAAAGTCATTATAGATATTGACATACTTATACAACAGAGGACGATGATGGATGAATATATGCAACATAATGTAGCAAAGATTTCGTTAGAGTTAGTGAGGTCATAAAAGTTTTTGTTTCGAATATATAGAGTTTGGGAGGGAAAGTTTCAGAAAATTGAAATAGTGATTAGAAATCATGGAATTAAAACACATTAGACGATTATGTAATGAAATAACTGAAAGTAGATTATTGTTAATAGAGATATGAATTGAAATTGGTCAGTTATGAATGATGTAATAAAATTAAGAAAGAGTTAGAATGACGTAATAAAAATAAATAAAAATAAAAGTAAAAGGGGATAGGGTGAATGTCACCAAGGCAAAGAAAGATTTATTAGTTTCTTTTCGTATACAAAGATCTGGTTTTAAACGTTTGATTGCTATTGCTTCGGCGAATTTCAAAAGGTTTGAATTCGATTGTTTGTTGATCACCTTGAAGGACTTCAATATATCGACTTCGTGTCCTGTGTCAAGGAGATGTCTTGCGACAGCGCTGCTAAATGCTTTTAGTCCGTTTGATCTCAAACTCTTCGGAATGTGTTCTTTGAATCGGACGTAGGCTCTCCTTTCTGTTCTACCAATGTAACTGCTTTGGCAGTTACATGTAAATTTGTATACACAGTTGGTGGTAACATGAAAGGGATACCTGTCGACCTTTGGTTGTGTCAAAGAATATGTTGTTTTGGACAGGACAATCATTGATTATAAATAATACCCCATTTTACTTTCAGTCTAACCATTTCTATTAGATTTAACAGATATTTTGTTAGCTAAAATCACATAGATTTTAACCTGTACAAATTGGCTTATTGTCAAAGTAAAACATGTTAATCGTCAAAATATAATTGCATATATGTATCAGAATTAAATAAAGTATGATGTTAAGGAACCACTTTCTATAATCTAATACAATCTCATGATAGCAATCAATACCAAATGTCAGTGATCAATATAAAAACGACTTAAAAGAAGACTGGTCTATAAATAGGTTCAAAAATTTATAAAATAAACCATTTTTTTTACATTTGATATGAACATCCGAACTATTGATTCAATAGTTTCTTTTAAGTCATTAAATTTAAAGTAAACTAACAAAATATAACTTGGTTCACTGAAATAATGATTTCGTGTATTGATTAATCTGATTTTTAATTGTTCTTGTATGTAACCAACTTAAGTGTCCAAAAGGATTACGATTAAGTAATTACTTTCAAGTTACACATTGAAATTAGTAATGTTGAATACATTTGACAACTTCAAGACCTAAATAGTCTTTAAAGCTCGATCGCAGTGAGTTAATTTTATAATAAACATCTAAGATTAGTAAAGTTAACATGATTAAATTAATAGACAATCAAAAAATAAAATAAAACTGAATCGAAACTTTTAAAAGCTAGTACACCCATAGATGAATTGACTGAACTCTATTTTGATCATTTTCATTTATAACTGGTTAGAATAAGTTATCAGTACTATAAACAATAAAAAAATACACTAGAATTTCAATGACTCATCACAACTAAAAACAAATGAGAAAGGGTTATTGACAATTAGAACAATTGAGCTTGTATGTTTACATATAAAAAAAATTATACATTCCATGTACCTAAATAAATGGTCGCTCTGGTTGTCAGAAGGGGCATCGGCCTGGTAACATCCGAAGGAACTCGGCTTTCATCATGAGGCGTCATAGTTCTTCTAAATGAAGACCTTCTGACTCCCGGGGCTGATTTTAAAAGGTTCGAATAATTTTTTCTGGTTAGCGTTTTTCTAGCGAGTTAGTTTTCTACGGGATGGGGACGCTAAATCCCATGCCCAACCCTCCTCCTTTATCCGGGCTTGGGACCGGCAGTAGCCCCCGGAGGGACTCCAGGCGGAGTTGTATGTTTACATGCAGATGGTTAATTATTTTTTGAGAGTGAGGATACATTCAAAGAGAATAAATTATATAAAATCTATATTCAGATTATCTTATTTAAAGGAAACAACTTCAGCATATTCATTACTGAAAACTTTATTTAGGAATAAGGATAGAATATTTCATGAATATTCATATATGAATATATGAATATTCATAATATGAATATATGAATATTCATAATATGAAAATTATGGCATGAACTCTGTAAGTTATGGGATTATTCATTTTGTAGCTACTTCACAGCCCTGTCTACTCGTACATTTCATATAATATTTTCCAAGATGAATTACATGATATATATAACAGGAAAGAGAGGGAGGGGGAACGGATACATTCGCAAGAAAGAATTGTTAACAATCTGATCAATTTCAGTCACATGTCTTCGTACCCATTTACATAATTTGATTTATTGCAATTAATCTGTTTTGTTGTTTTTTTGTTTGTTTCTGTTTTCCCCCTTTTCTTCTTGTTCATGCACTCATTTCCTTGTTTATTCATTCTAATCATTAATTTTTTTTGCTTATCCATGAATTATATCTCTTTTGTTTTTCCCTTTCTTCCCGATAATAAAACGGATACTACAATCTGTACATAATCATAATTGAAATCTTGATCTTCTTAAGACATTAATACTTCGCAAAGTTGTTTTCTACCTAAATTATCAAACAGCTGATTTTAACGTAAACTAAGGCTTTCAGTACTACTTTATTAACTGAATCAAAAGGAAATGCTTAGAAACAAGTGAAAATTCATCTAGTTACTATGTAGTTCGGTTCAAATAAAACAAACTAATCTCGCGTCTATGCGATGTACAGCTAAGCTATATAGAGATTTTAATAAATCACTTTTTTTATCTCTTAAGCTTGTGTTAATAATGTTATACCTTAGAAAGTCACTCAAAACTTAACAATTAAAATGATTCAAGATACAATAATCCGTTTACAAGTCTCGGATTTTGAGAAAAGAAACTAAAATTTCATTGTAGTTTCTATTTGAAATATTCAGTTTGTATTCATTTAAGTTTTTACATTAAAATCAACTTAATGATAAATGGATTGTATTGGAGAGATGGATATAATAATAAAATAAAGTCGTCACAGTGGTTAGTACAAATGTTATTGTTTATTTTAGCATGCTCAGTGGTATTCGTACACTTTATAATCCATATCTTTCAGAATTTCCAAGGTAATCATGCATTCGAATACTATTCAAAGGACTGATATTCTTAAAATAGCGGTATCATGGATATTGTGAAATTTAATGTTACTTCTAATCAATTAACTTGTAATTCCTGTTGTTTTGTAGTTTCTCAATGTTCTAGTTGGATCGGTGGTATTCAGCCAAGTTGAAATAACATAGTTATCATGGATAGTATTCTTATAAACTTTGAACTATACAATCTTTAATTGTCTACAGCTGAATCTGTTGAGATACCATAAAGATATCAAATTTTCACTGATTTTCAAAGGTTCATCAGAAAATGACAGCTTGACAAGATCTTTAGACAAACCGAATTGATATTTACCTAACGCTACAATTTTACGCAAATATATGCAGACAGATAGATGACTAGTTAGAATCTGGCAAAATGAATTAATGATTACAAGATATCAAACGTATAGTATGCTTGACCAATCATCCCTAGTTTAACATAATGAAACGAAACAAACAGGAATCTAACAAAAATGTTAACAGGTCTAAAGTTGATATATCCCTTACATCTCTAGAGAATCGCATTCTGAAATGACGAAATGAACTATGAAATTCATTTATGTAAAAGATATAATATAAGTGTGAATATATAAATTTCTCCCTAAATCAACTATTCTGCTGATTTTTTCCTCAAAATTCCCTAATGTTTATGTCCTTGTAAATAATATTTTTATTTTCTGGAATAAATCGTGTATCGATCCCAACAAAACGACTATTGAACATGGGAAAGCCTTAAATAACTGCTTCGTCCAAATATGTGACTCCTTACGGTGCACATCCACGAACGCGACGGAGATCGAATTCAAGAACTTAAGTTGTTTGACCGACATCACTATGTAACGTAATCTATGGGAATGCAACAGTATCCACATAGACCCCTGTTTTAACATTTTTGCGACCGAAAAATTGAAAAACAAAGAAAAAGTAACCACTTGAAATATTAAAAAATCTTAGTAACAATTTATTGTTTTTTTTAAATATTTGTTTGAAGATCACCTTCCCCTTCTACTTTTTCCATTCATCTTAGGAATCTGAAAAAGATCCACAAAATGTTTACATTACCAATATTCCTGAATCCTGGACAGCATCTAATGTTGAAGATTTGAAACAAATCTTTCAACCTTATGGACCTATAGCAACTGCTATTGTAATGACAAAGAGATCAAATAATTTCTGTACAGGTACTAATAGGTTTTTTCTCTCAGTTTGATTCATATTTTATTTGTGTATTTGAAGTAGCGTCCCGACATTCTTCTGATTAAGGACTTGTTAGCTGGGGGCACTTGCATTTCATTACAGGCATGAAATAGGTATATACAACTATCAAATATTAAATAGATTAAAGTGTGAGATATAAGCTACACAACTAATCAGTATTCAAGTTGTAAATTTAATCATTATCGTAATATCCCTTCAAAGGAGCTATATATCAACAAAGACTGTTCAAATTCAGTCCTGACTATGAATTTTTCTAAATAATAGTATGTTTATATTATTTTAGTTGTTTATGATCTGTGAGTATGTAATGACTGAGGTTAAACAAAATAATAATTTATTCACTACTGGATACATTAATACTACCATCAATTATTGTTAATGTCTTCTTAGTTTTGATTTACTCATGAAAGTATGAGATATCAGTTTTGCAAACAATTTTCATATTTTATCTTTATTGTAATGCACACTTAAACCTAAAATATAGCTCCATTTTTTTTAATGTTCCATAGTTGTATCTAATAACCTAGAAACATAAATATATATCGATAAAAACAAAAGAACTTTTAGCCGATGTTCCAAGTGACTACTATTTTTGTTTGATGACTAGGTCATGGATTAAATGAATTTTACAACAACTCTTTGGATAATCCATCCAGCCGATGTAATTTAAACATTTGAAATTTAAAAGAGGGTTATAACACTATAATCGGTTATGGCTATTTTAAGTCATCAAGTTTCACATAGGTTTATTTCTACTCATTTCTTTAAAAAAAATATATTTACATATTACTTTGTACTACAATTCATTGGTTCTTAACTATCAGTCACACAGTGTTTATAATATTTGTATAATTATGTTGGGATTGTTTTCATTTCACATAATTAGGTGCTGGATTTGTACGTTTTGTTCGGTCTGAAGATGCTCAAAGAGCAATCGATGGAATTCGTAATGCACAAATCACATTAGAAAATGGTAAAGGGCCATTAGAAGTTAAACTGGCTGATAGACAAAAACCATCAGACGATCAACCAAAGTAAGCCGTTAATTATAGAGAATTTAAAAACTACATAATAATTTGGTTAATTTAAAAACATATGAAAAAGAATATTTCTAAATTAATTCATGAAAATCATTATGGAATTTTGGGTAAAGGATCGTTCAAATTGACCAGCAAATAGCTTGCAATTACTGAAACGCATTTCACAAATTTATATGGCTTGGTTTGATAAAAACGAAGCCTACGAATCTAATACTTGAGCTAGAATTTTTTTTAAAAATTTCCATTCCCGGCACTAACTACATCTCATACTGCATAGGTTGTCATTACTTTTGAAGGAAGTATTGATGATTCTAATCAGAACGATAACGAGAGGTTTTTCTACAAACTATTAACCCCTACGAACATAGCACTACCAAAAGTATCTATCTGAAGTAAAAAGCAATTGTTTCTTAACATAAATCACCATTAATGTAAATTATAAGTTTCATCACAATTGATTGATCACTGGGTGGTGATCGATGTCATGCGTGTCTAGTCCTTATTAATGCAGATCGAATGCTATCGATCATGTTATAATGTGACCACCAGTCTAGGTGACTTGACACTGCGGGCACTATATGTTGAGATTAGATGTTGGTTGGAGGTAGTCGACAGGAAACCCTAGACCCGTGTCTCATGCTACTTGGCACTCGTCAGCAAGGTGTACCTGTAATCTTGAGGGAACTGGTACTCCCTGGCGGATTCAATATCGTGTCACCCAGCTTCACATTCAGAAAATTTACCACTGAGCTATCCGAGTCACATCAAATTTTACTAACAAACTATATTTTTCATGCATCAATCATATTCATACTTCATTTCATTTCCTATTTCGTTTATCAATAATATAGTGATTTCGTATATTGAAAAGAAGTATTTATAATACATCTTAGATTTAATATATCATCATTTTATACATTCATATTTCAATATAAAATGGAATGGAATATCAAAAGCAAAATTAATGTAGAAAATGAAATGAAAAGAAAGAAAAACCAAATCATTTCAGATAATAATTAGAATCCTTGAATTATATTTTACACATCAACCATGACAACTTCACTTACACGTGTCATATAGTACACGTAAAATTACTGATGCGTTTTTGTCTAATTAAGTGCACGCGCGTTCGCTCGCTCGCTCACTCACACACACATACACACAATATAATTTATAATAATCAAAACGTCATAATTGTTAATGGATCATTGAACATGGTTATATTAAAGCGAATTTATCTTTTATAGAAAGATAAATGCTCTAAAGATGATATATTTTCCAAAGTTTTTTTTTCATTCATAATAAAGTAAATCGAGTGAAAAAAACTCCCACAAAACAGTCGTGTGGAGGTTTAGATGGTAGAGTTCTTAATATTTATTTTCTACAATCGTTACATAATTGACTATTCAATTTCATGTTCGCTTAGAATGTATATCTTTAAATAAGTAAAGGAGATACAGATTAAATAAATCAAATATAGGAACAATTAAATCAATTCTGAAAATATATTCTACGATAAACTGATTAAGGTAAACCTTTGAACAGCTATATTCTGATTCAGTCTTCTGGAAAAGTACTATGTACTCTGTGAGTTATGAAATTTACAGATTTATAAGAGAAATTTTCTGTGTTGTCTGATAGTAAAGTTAAATAAGTATCTATCAATCCCTAGCATAATACATTTTCAGGCTGATTTGTAAGTATAAAGTGAACAAACAGTATTGAACGCAGGAAATTAATGAACAGTCTTTATAGTACTCTGTTTTGTTTTGCTTTTGATGTTTTTTTTGGCTAGCACAACAAAAGTACGATCGTCAAAACGTAATAGTGAACCACCAGAATCATTGACATCAACGTCATTAATGAATGGAAATGAAGAGACTGCACGACATTCACGTACAAGAAAACAATCTGATTGTTTATTACCTAATGATAATCAACTATCTAATCATAATGTCATTAACTCAAATCAGTTACGATCAAACCCTGGTGTTTTGGGACCAGCTACAGATCTAACCTCATGGGATGTAACAAATCGTTTAAATAATTCTGATTCATTAATGTTAGCATTACGTGCGGCTTGGGCATCGAATTCTTTACAGAATTCTAACTTTTTATTACGTAATTCTATTGGACAAAATAATTTAACATCTACTAATGAAAATAATCGAGGTTTATTACCAATTCCTAATCAAACTATACAATTGACTAATTTTATGTCACAACAAAAATTACCTAATGGAATTTTACATAATCAAAATCCTGTTCAACATAATTTAGTAACTGGACCAACTGCTGTAGCTGCAGCAGCAGCAGCACAAGCTGTTACTGCTTTATTGCCTTTCTCTAGACCAATTGACAATTATTCATTATCACAAGCACTTATGCATACACCTGTTGCACCTTCAATGATTGGTCCAAGTAAGCCATATATTCCTTTATTCAAAATTGATATATAATTCAAATATAATCATTTATTCAATCATTGATGCTTATTCATAATCTTAAATTTATAGTTGTTTGTTTCTTTTAGTAAAAAGGGGAAAAATGTAAAACTTTGGCATTTATACAATTGATCCATTTAATGTCATATATATATAGAAAAGAAGAATAGTAATAAACCATGTTATTTATGTTTTATAATGTGTTTAGATGTAGTAAAACTAAAGGTCGAGAATTATAGGGTATACATGTATGTGTATACTAATAATTTATCGACCAGACATCAAAGTTTAACTAATAGACAAAATCTAATTATAGAAATGATGAATCAGCAACAACAACAACAACAACAAAAATTCCATTGTATCGATAAACATTTCTAATGTCTAGGTTAAATCGTAAAAAAGAAAAAAGAAGTAAAAGAGAGAAAATTTTACAATCTCATTTATCTGAGTCATTGAAAGAAACGTTTTTTTTGTTTATTGAAATGCTTGAATAATTTATAAGTACAACAAACTATTGTGAATATTTTATATGACTGTTAAATTATTCTTCCAGAAAGTTATCAAAACAGATAATCAATAAAATAGCCATATGAGCTTAATTAGTTTTATGATTTCTATCTAAAGTATTCAGTAGTACGTTTCAATATGGTGTTTGGGATAGGTTTTTTTTTGAATGAGACTAATTATAAACAAAATTTCTGAATGTAATCCATTCATGAAATTTTATCAATTGTTTGCAATCTTTGTCGTGTCTAGCAAGAGTTTTGGTCATGGGTTGACATCAGTTGAGTTATCATCGAAAACTATCAGATAATAAAAAGGTATTCGGCTACATAGTATCACATAAATGAACCAGTTGACAGAAATGAAGCACAGAATTTACAAGTTACTCTGTATATCAGTTACTTCAGATCAGTACATTTAATCCAATGATTAACGTCTCTTATACTAATTAATTCACGTCATTGATCGATAATCACTTCATTGAAATAATGAAGTTTTGTGATAAATGGGTCTAAAAGTTAATATAATGTTGCATAATACAATTGAGTAATGTGACTGCTACGAATATTGTTGATAAAGTTGCTTGTTACTTTAATATTATTATATCAATCTAGAAGACGTAAAACTGTTTGAGACAGAAATGATTTTTAATACGACGATTAGTAATCTATGTTGTACAATAGTCATTACGAAAGTTAGATTAGTTTGAATACTTACAATTGACCGGTCATTGAACATTGACTAATATTATAAATGTTAAGTCATTAATAATGATAACCGAATCCTCCTGATCAAATTGCAATGTAGCTCGTTATCATGTGCACTATGTCGAGATGTAAAATGACAGTTGGAAGTATTATGCGGGAGACTTTACCTAGATTCCGTGCCATTCTAGACTCACAGAAAAGGTGTACGTATAGATTTAGGAAATCACCTTTCTGAAGAGTGACAGTTAGCATGAAACTTTGGCCCAATTTTTCCTCTCGAATACCTCCAACTACTACCTTGTGCCGAGAATTCTATATCGTACCAAAATATAATACTGAATAAAGCCATTAATAATAATGATAAAGTTTGAATGAGCACATAGCCCTAGTCTATGTTTTAGGGTTAAGGAATCTAAAATGGTTTTATGTATATAAGACATATAAAGCAAACGTATGACATACCTACAATGAATATTTTCAATTTCCTGGACATCTGTGTACATTCCTTTATTAAGATAACGCAGCCATATAAATAGGTTTAGGTACTTGATTAATATCCTGAAAGCACTATACCTCATATTTTATGAAAAAATATAACACAAGTAAAATGGTTCAAAGTTAAATTCTCACGGTAAATAAACCATTATATAACGGCTTATAAAGTACATAGAGTGACCATTGAAAGTGTCCTATCATAGGTGTATCTAGAATCAATTAACGAAAGTGAATTCAAACAGGGTGATCCTGACTTTTTCCCAATTGATGCACCGGAACAATTTTAATGAAATTTCCACTTGTATCGATGTCTAAGGGACTACCTGTTCAATTTTTTTCTAAGGCAGTGGTGAATAGATATGACTTGTTTTATAACGATGTTTGTTTGCTACCACATTTTCGTACTTAAAGCTTTCCTCGGCAAATGTGAAACTGTCACTGTGAATCTCAATAAAATTATTACTTCAAGTAGAACCGTTCACTTTTGAGAACATCGTACTCCCGAGCATAATCATCTAAATTAATTATCTTCTCCATCATTTTAAAGTGTTATCTATCAATCGACAAGAATAATTAAGACTTAATAATCAATCAACAAACTCTATAAAATAGATTACTTTATTTTATGCTTCATAATATAACTGTGTTGGTAAAAATATCACCGCTAACATCAACTTTCGATCATCTATCTCCCTATCTATCTATCTATCTATCTATCTGTATATATATAATAGTATTACATATAATGCTGCTGTGCAGACAACGATATAAATTTGCTCAATACTGCGTTTCACAAAACCTTGAATTATTGAATAGTAGTTTTCTTAAAAGCAAATTAAAAATTGAAAAGACTTATGATCATTGATCTGAAGATTTATTTAGTCATTGGTTCTGTCAATTGTTCATTTCTATTCCGTCATGTTTATCTGTTATATAATTTATAAATTGTTTGCAATTACACGATGTGTTACCCAAAATGTGACCTTGAACTTATTTTTTTTAAACTGTAACAAACGTTTTTCGATTTGATTACATAAAAGTACAACGGTTTAAATGACAAATTATCTCACACATTTATTTTTAATAAAAACTAATACTAATTTTCAAAATGGAATGATTTTCATTCAAGAATCATTATGAAATGGTAAACGATAGACAGATTAAGTAGATGATTTTGTCGAAGCTCCAAAATGAAATTCCATCAAATAGAATCATCTTAAACAAGGTTGCAATACATAGTTTTATTGTTGTATCCAGTAATATAATCATAATGATCTTGTAGGAAAACAATAAATTGTTTCACAGCGTTTGAATCTGTGAATTGCTTAACTTTTGTTCAACTTCATTCAATTAGAAGTGGGTAAGGTTAGTGGTTACATTTTCAATACACACTTAATATCCTTTGTACTCACTCACTGAGTGATGCATATTGGAGTTTAATTTTTAGTAAATATCTCACTTTAAGTATTTGAACTTATCCAAAACTCTTGTTGTCAACAATACTATGTAGCACAGAATAAGATAATGGATTCAACAGTCAATTAATTATTGAACAAAAAGTGACTGAATGTTATGACTGTAAAATAATAGTTGAACATTTAGTTTTCAAATTTATCAACCGATTTTCTTTATCTGTTTCTATTCGTTCTTTCTTTCTCTCTGTTTCTATCCAATCAATCCAGTGATCCAGCCTGCTTCCAACTGGACTACAAGTCCATTAATATCAAACATTTACCAATCAATATAAATATTTGTTAAAATATATGGAAAAACCAATGTGAAATCAAAAGAAGCATAACAAGTTATCGTTGCTAATGTCGTTTTCATATGAAACAAAACTTCTTTTTTTAACAGTTCATAGAGTTACAATAAACAAATATTTCTTTCTTCAGAAAAAAAACAGAATAACTAAGTTCAAAAAAACACATTTCAACACATTGCGTCACAGATACAATGAATATAATTTGATCATATTGGTCAAAGAATAAATGTGGTCGGTTGTGTATGTTTATGTTTGTTTATGCGTGATCATGATTACCGTATGCTAGTATGTTTCATGGTATATATATATGCTTGATTTAGTTAATAGATTAAAGGAAGAATAAAAAACTGAAACATTTTACGACGAAATAATATCCCACTTGTTGGGTCCATTTTTTTGATTTTATGAATATTTTTTGTCAGTGATATCCCTTCTTTTTCTTACTAGTGTTCAGTTTTTGTTTTCCATACAAATATTTTCCATTAGCATTCAATATCTATTCATTCATCCTGATGTTTATTTGGGTGAATTATTTTCCAATTCCTATCCTCCCTACCCTACATATAACTGTACTCATTTAAATATGATTACAGAAAACTTATTTTAGTAATGAATTAACAATTGTTGTGAAAAACTGTTGAGAAAAAAATTTTTTTTGGGAAGACAGTTTACATATACGTACATGTGTAGTGATATATTCATATATAGATATTTTAGGGAATTCCTTGAAACCAAGGAAACAATCAAGTTCTATCATTTTGTTTTCTTTGACATATTGTTTAGTTGACTTACTTTTCAATCAACTTTTTTTAAACTTGAAAGATATATTTTGAAAATAATCGGTTTAATGAATTGGAAGAAATGACAATGTTACTTGAACACCTTTTTTTAATGTTTTTTTTCAAGATGTTTATCTCTGGATTTGAAAAATACACATTCTTAATAGATTAGTGTGTGCGTGTGTGCATTGGTTGAGTTTAAATATAAATATATATAGATGTACACATTATTTGTGTGTATATGTATTTGTGTGATTTAATTAACCTATCGAATCAAAATGATTAAAACATAAGATATAAATTTAACCAAGAGTCTTATGATGGTTCATCGTTCATGATTCAATGTGCAATATTTGGATTGTTCAAACTGATTACAGAAAAATAGAAACAATCTAGGCCAAAAACAAACAATCTAATAAAATCCTTATTTTATGCTTCATTAATTTCATTTATTATTTTGTTGTTGTTTCCATTCATTTTTTTCTCTTTTTTTTCTTTTTAATTTTAACTTTTATTTCAAGTGAAAAAAATGTGTTTGTTTGATTGGGTTTCTTTTTTTTTTCTAAAAAAAAAAACAAGTTTGTGCTTTCAAAAAAACAAAGAGAATGACAATTAATTGTAAGAAAATAAACAAGCAATCGATTTCTTTTTTGGTTTCCTAGAATTCTGTGAAGTATTGTTTTCCATCATATATTTTGAACGATATAAAATGTTTTTTGTTTGTTTGTTTGTTTAAAAGACTATGATTACATAATAGTATTTTAGTAGCAAGATTTGCAAAAGTTATAATCAGTAGTATTGTTATGTGAAATTATAATTAGTAGATATAACAATGAATCATATATTGTAATATGTTCCACTTATTTTTGTTTTTAAGTGCAAAAAGATCATAGCACAAATTAGTTTTAATGATAATTCACATTATTTTCTTTCTTTTTCAAATTGTTGCTTAGATGTACTTTTGAATATGAGTGTATGTGTAAGTGTGTATGTGTTAGCTTATTGATAGCATGTATGTGTATGCATTTATGGTAATAATATACGTATGCTTTTTACAGTGCATTCGAAACATTCACCTGAAATGTTAACTTTTTTAAATAATATGTTGTGTGTGTGTGTGTGTGCAAACGAGTACTTTGATGACTTGAACAATTTGTGACAAAACAAATCAATAGATACTGTGACAAATAAAACGTAAACCATGGAGACATTTATCATTTGAGTATTTTTTTTTCTCTCCTTCAAATATTAACTAAATTTTAATAAATATTGAAAAAAAAGTATATTTGTAATTTTGTGTGTTTTTGTGAAAATATATGATTTTGAATGCCAAATCTAATTGGTGTATAACTTAGTTTATGGGGAACAAGGAAATGAATTTGTGTTTCCATTACATTCAGATACTTAAATGTAAATTTTAACGGAATAAAATATGTTTCACGCCAGTGATGTGATTGACTATCAAGATCCAAATAGTAAACACACATAATATCAATATTCAAATCATTGAATATATCATTACGTCATAACGAGACTATGTAATGAAAGCATAGAGGTGATGGATATTTCTCTTAGAACTCTTATAATTTTTCACCATAGAATTGTCGTTAATCTAATTTAAGTAGATTGAAGTGTTTTTACAGTAAAATGACTGAAAGAACTGTAACGAGCGTCAACTAATATAATAAGGAAAATAAAAAGGAAAACATGTTCAAGTTATTGACTTCCTTTAAGTCTATTCAGAGGTCTTACTGGACACGTTATGCTTTACATGAGATATATTTGAAAAAACTTACATTATGCTTTCTAACACAGAATGCACAAACGGTTTGTCTTAATCTATAAATTTAGTCTATTAAAACAGGGAACATGGTGAGATTATGCTACTACATGAAAGTACTTGTGGACAATCTATTACGCATATTTCTATAAAATATCCACATTTAAGTAGTGTTAACATGCACAAAGAACCTCGTTCAAGTAAATAAATTATATCACTGAGCCGGCACCCAATGGTTTTAATGTCTAACTTCAACCAGTCCACGAGATTGCGTGGACATCTTCGATTGTCTGAGGTAGAAACTATGTGCTCGCTAGTAACTAGCTTCGTGTGGGAATGCTTGGAGTCCTAGTGAGAAGCTTTGACCAGTGGAGTTTATCCGTGTCAGGCGAAGACAGACATTGAAAGAGGGTCGCGCAACTTCGTGGATTGGTTGAAGTTAGACGTCAACGTCGTTGGATGCCGGTTAAGCAGTTTAGCTGTTAAGCATTCGTGCGCAAGATCGATGGCTCCTAGGTTCGAACCCTAAGATCAGGCTCGTGGATGCACACTGCTGAGGAGTACCATACGAGAACGAAACAGCCAATCAATGCTTCCATGTTTTCAATAGTGATCTAACATTCATCTATCCATTAACTCAATCAAAAACTTAACAATCTCCACAACCCCACACTAATAACAAACTTTACGTTTTGAAGATGAAAAAAACGTTATTTTTTTATATTCGAAAAAATAACAAAAAAAGGTGAATCTTTTCATAACTTGTTTGTTCAAACTTTGTTTCGTTCGATTGATAAATAGAAAAGAATTAGAGATGTGAAGCAAGTAATTTGAACATGAAACTTGTTAGAAAATATTTCACATCAATACAAAATACAAGTTTCCTAATCAATTCAAATTACCCATATATCAGTCATAATCCAATGAATAAATGCTACTTTCTATCTACTTTTTTTTTAAAGAGTAGACAAAACGAACATCAGCTTGATTATTCAATGCATACAATCAAAATCTCACTATATTTTTATTTGTCTGATTACAATTTAGAATTGAATTGTATACAAAAATATCAACACTATAACAACAAAAACTTTATACATTTCTATAAATTATAAATGATTTTGAAAATGTTAATAGGCTTTGGAAACAAAACAGAAATGCTATAAATCAAATGTTGATAACTGAAATATATATATATATATATATATATATATATATATATATATATATATATATATATATATATATATATAATCTGATGAGTAACACTCTACCATGGATGCCTTATTCGTGTGTTTTCTGTGCATCGAAGCGAAGATACAAAGTGAAACAACTGAAGATGATTTGTCTGATTTAAATGCTGATATCAACTTGAGAAGCGCTAACTAAAACTTTTTTACAAAACGTACTGAACAGTTATATCATTCCAGTTTTGACTCAATGCCTGATAAATGAATAATACTTGTTGTGAGAATATGATGTGATAGGTTTGATCCAATGTGAAAAAGTGAATTTATGATATTGAATGATTGTGAACTAAGATGAAATGATAATCTGATGTTTCATAGGTTACGTGCCTTCATCAATTTATTTTGAATATTAATACAATACTGTTTGAAGTTATAAAAATTGAAGTTTAGGTTTTGAGTTGATGAATCTAGTTTGTGAAACTAATTCAAGAATATTAAAGCTTCAGGTGAATTATTTAAATATCATAAACCATAAATAATATTGTTTAGTCTTGAACATGTGGTTATATTTAGATCTGACTAAAGCATGAACAAAGTATTTCAGTTTTTCAACCTCTTGGCAAATGGCTCGATGAACTCAGTAGTTAAGTGGATAACGAGATGAAGTTTCAAAAGAAACGTACTCTGTTCGATTCAATTCTCGAATGCAGCAATACCCAACTGATCAGTTCGAATACAAACCAATCCCTGGAGTTCTAGTGAGAAGTAGTGACCAGTGGAGTTCGACCGGGTCAGCTGTGAGGTAGTAAATCTCTGAAAACAATGAAGGACGGTCGTGCAATCTCGTGATACTGGTAGGTCTCGGGTTCAAATCTCTCGAGGCAGGATTGTGGATGCACACTGCTGAGGAGTCCCAAAATAGGACGAGGTGGCCGTTCAATGCTTTCAGGTTTTCCATGGTAGTCTACCTTTAATTGACTCATGAATTCAACTATAAAATTTTTAAAAATCTCCACAAAATCTCCTTGTGAATATATTTAATACATCATTTTTCCTTTTCACAAAACTAGTTGTTAGCTTTTGCTTTTATTCTGCTCTGTATTTACTCAATTTCATTTTATTTCAAATTTTAAATAACTATAACATCAATATTATAATTCTATTTCTATACTGTTCGATTTTATCCTAGAATATTCATGTATTCAACCTATAAATATCCACATCCCTTATAGTTCATCCATATATATTACTCTTTTAATGCATTTTTAATGATTAGCACGTTTCCTATATTAAGACATGAAGTATGCACACCAAACTTGCAATTTAATACCATTTTGTTTCGATCGTAAGTAGCTGATGGCAAATCGTGAAACAAAAATGAATTCGTATTATTTTGCTACTCTTAGCTTGAGGTGAAAATTCACTCATGCATAACACGTCTATTAGGTCACAAAATGATAATTATCTAGTGGAAACAAATAATCCATCTAGATTTCAAAATAGCCAAAGTGACAGCTGATGGTATATGTTTTCATCCAGTTGTAAGAGATGAACCAATATCAAATACACCAGTCGGCCAAAGGAGGATCGATTTTTTTAGGACATCACATGTTATCTGATTACCCGACTTTATGCAAATTAGAATTAGCAGTGTTTTAATCTGATAAAAGTTGTCACTATTTTATAAGCAAAGATGAATGGTGGTTGGTAGTGGAAGCCAGAACGGGCGTTTTGTTTACATTTGAACTGGTCAGTTGGATATTGCTGCATCCCAGAGTTGACTCGTATCGAGTATCTTTCGCTTCAAACTTCATCACGTTATTCACATAACTACTGAGTCCATCGAGACATTTGCCAGGAGATTGGAAAACTGAAATTCTCCATGTAAATTATCTCAGACTTTACTAAAATCTTTAATAAACTACTTCTTACGTCTTTCATCTGATAAGTGATATAAAAAATATCCACTTTAAGACTTACAACTCAGTACCTTGCATTGACTTTCGAGGATATTTTGATTTACTAGCTTGTTGGGTATTTTACAAATCCTGCGCATTATCTTATGAAAAAAAACTGTTGTTAAGCAACAAAAGAAACTCAACATGCCATTGTAGACAATTCAACCAGGAACATTTTCTTGACGTTGGTATCATATGCCAAATCAGTGTAATCATATTTTTAGTGCTTTACCAGGTATAGTTACCTGTTAAAAAAATAGCTAATAGGTCATAATATCTGTGTACAGAATTGTGTAGATCACAGAGTTTTTGCTGAGCTTTGCGTTATGAGGTGATCGTAGATAAACCGCCATTGAAAACCTTTTATTTTATTATGGGTTTCTCTATCAGTGCTCGTCCATAAACTTACAATCGGAAATCGAACACAAGACCTTCTGTTCCGGGCCCAAACTCCTAACCTTGGGTGCACACTGTTGAAGAGTTCCATGCTAAGACAAAACAGTTATCCAATATTTCTACGTTTTCAGTAGTGATTTAACTAAGATCAGTTTGTGTTTTAAAATCTATGAATGAATTGTCTACTAGCAAATTCCAAATGTTATAGGAGAATTTGGTTACATTAGAGTGGTTAGTGAAAAATAGGACGACGAGAACAAATGTATATGAAAGAAAACAATTTACTAGATTATTATGGAAAAAGCGGTGAAAAAAAGTATTTTCAACAACTTTCTGAATACAAGCCAGTTTCGAAATAAGAGATAATAAGTTTACTTCTTTTGCATCTGTCAATCCATACTATACATCGTCTTGACCACTAAAACAAAATGTGCTTGAGTTTTTTCATATTTTCTTGATTATAAATGACACATATTGTACGAATGTCACTTTTATGATTAAAATATCAAACAAACGTCTTCTTCGATATCAGCCGCCATTCAAAAATGTTTTAAATAACCTAAAAGGACATATTTATAAACTGAGTACTTTTATGGCTTAAAAAAACAAAGATGTGTCTTGAAAAATTAAGGAATTCCAAACAGTGAACGTGTTCTCTGTGGTAATTTGATACTCTAATTTTATTATTACTTAAAATTATGAACAATGATAAAGTTCCAATTCCCTAACTTATAATATAACAAAATATATTTCACAGCAGTTTAACACAACTGATGGCTTATATGATCGAGTAGTTACGTGAATAGTACATTTGGTACTTTGAAAATAAAATGCAATGAGTTCGAATCTCAGTTTGAAAATTCACTTGAATATACAGCTATATCCAGCTAATAAGTAGTCATCAGATTTGTTAAATGATAAAAATTATGTAGTTTACTTCCTGTTTAGTTTTAGGTATTACTTTTATGTTCTTACAGCTACAAAGAACAGTTTAAACAAAATAATTCAAGTAA